GGGTTGTGATAGTGGATGAAATTTTATAAATGAAAAATACTAGCAAATTGGACAAGTATTTGATTTTATCCTTATATTTGTTACTTGGTAGTGTTTGGCTAATTTTTGTCCTTTACTTGGAGTTATGAGCACTGCTTCAAGCGTGTCCAAATAACAACTGCTTCTTCTTTACGCCTCTACAGATACAAGATTTCCTTACTGAAACCCTCCACAAAGGCCTTAGTCCTGTCTTGTAAGGTATCTATTCGAACAGATAACCGAGGATTCCTCTCATTACAGTATATGATTAGAAATGAAGATGGACAGATATGTTTTGTGGAATATTACTGCTGCCCTGATGAGGAAGTTCCTGAATCAGAGTCTTAAGTATGGCCTTCCCTGTGGCTTCTACGTGAACATTCATGATAGGTCACATCCTCATTCTGGGTATAGTATCTCCAGGAGACTGGGTTTTCTAAAGGGAAGAAGCATGGAGGAGACGCAAACAAGGTCCATGTACCCTAATAGTTGCTGTATATTTTGTAAGTAAATGTTTTCATATAGTCATGGATTACCCACTACTGGACTGTCCTTTGGTTCTGTCTTTTGAACTCATCATTATGAGCCAAGATGAATAATCTATTTAAGTCAGACATTTCAAGAGTCTAAAAATTTAAAGTTTGATGAATCCATACCTGAAATGTTCTTTTATTTATTTACTATTAGAAAGAGCAGCTGCATATGGGCATTGCTTATTAGTTTGAATTCCGAAGAATATATCTTAACAGTGGTTCTCAAAGTGTGGCATCTAGACCAATAGCATCACCATTACCTGGAAACTTGTCAGAAACTCTGGAGGTGGGCCAATAATCTGTAGCTTAAGAAAACTTTCCCCCAGGAAATTCTGATGCATGCTAATGTTGGAGAACCACTGTTTTGAAGGATACTTTTTTTGTTGTTTTAATAGCATTTAATTGCACTGAAGTGATTGCTTTTACATGTGATTTCTTCCCAAATGTTCTGAAGTTTAGGCTTTGCCAAACAAGTCTGAGTAATTATATGATTTATTTTTAAAGTATACATTTTAAAGAAATCTATGAACAAGATATATAAAACAGTCTTCAGAGTTGAGTTACAGGATTTCTTCTTGTTCTCTGCAACTGTTCAGTGCAGTAAGTACTTTATAAGTACTTATTAGATAACTTCTGTTTGCCTATAAGAGTTTCTCATCCAAACCAAGATGTAGAAAATCAGTTATTAAGTGATTTTGCACTTTCTTGGGTAGTTTTCCATCAATTTTTATGGCATGTGGATATTTAATAAAATGAAATACTAAAATTATCTGGCTTGTTTTCTAGTAGAAAAAATATATAACTAAAATAAAGTTTCCTGTACCGTGTGATACAGATCAGTGTTGGGCAGGCACCATTGGCCTTTGTGGGTGGGACAGTTCTTCATGGAGAAAAAACTCATCCCATTGCAGGATTCATTTAGCCTCCTTGGCTCCTACCCACTGATGCCAATCCTTGTGACCTGTGACCCCCACCCCCCGCTACTGATGGTTAAAAACCATTGAATAATATTCATCAAAAACATTCATCAAAGGGGTATATTTGGGTATGGGTATATTTGGAATGCCTTACCTTAAAATAGGCCACATGGCATGAGAGGAGATTGGTTTGGAGAGTAGTTCAGCAAAGCACTTCAGGGAAACACTCCCCCAGAACAGCTGTGGGCTCTGCTCCCCGGGACATGGACAATTCTGGGTGTCTAGCTCAGAGTGACTCCCTGATAACTACTGAGCCCCCCAAGTCATCTCAGGATGCCGGCTGGCACAAAAAGAGTTAGAGTTTTGTAAAGTATAGTATATGTTCAAGAAGGAAATGAATGACTCTACTAAATGTTGTGTAAATTTTTTTTTTTAGATAAACATCAAAAACAGAACAAATATAAAACGTAATTATGAAAATATTTAATCAGTTTCAAGGACTATAATTTTCCTTTAAAATAGGGCAGTTATTTTTGGGTTTTGTTCACTGGTATGTCCTGTACCTAGAACAATGCCTAGTATGTAACACATTCAGTAAATATTTGTTAGATGAAAGAACCTCCATTTCAGATTATCTTTTAGCATCTTATTAGTCACTATAATTTCAGTTATTTAGCTCTGAATTGATTTTGGTCTAATGTATTTTTTGAAAGTTAGACCTGTAAGGATTTAAAATATATATTGGTTTAATAGGGAAAGATTGACTTTTTGCACATTTAAGACCATTTTAGTTGCACATATCTTTAGCTGTTTAGAATTCATAAGCTAATGAATGTAATTCTTTCTCCATCAGTCTAACAGGAAGCTACCGATTTAACACAGAATTTCCTATTCAGTGTGTTCTCTTGGACCTAGGAATTACTAGTTTAACTTTGTTCAAATTCCTATGACAGTCCGCTAGGGGGAGTGCTTTCTCAGGCCAACCAGACGCACTGGTGACTACAAATTCAAGTGTCACACACAGAAAAATAGAATCTTATTTTTCAGACCTTTAGTTTTTTGCCTTTTTGAAGTTTATCTCATTTTCTTACTAAATTGAGCTTATTACGGGAATGGGTAGTTAATCTTTTTCTCCATTTTTAATGTTTTTGCCTGTTTGATGATGGTGTGTTTCCACCTGGATTGATGAAATGATTTAAAAAGCAAAATAAAATGATTTTTGAAATTCTGCTTTTCTAATAAAAATAAATCTTGTAACACAATCACTTTTATAAGGAGCCACCGAGTTTCTACAGTGCATCAAGTAGTGCTGTTAAGAATTCATTACAGTTCCTGAAAGGGCAGCGTGTAGCATTCGTAACAGCTTAGGCTGGGGAGTTTTCCGGAACAGTGTACTCCCTTCTTCTGTTCCCTGTCTTCACACCGACTTCCCCTTGTCCCCACCCGAAACAAAATCTCCTGGGTCCTGAGGAATTGGGGAGATGGTCTGGTTTTTCTCTCCTACTTCTGGCGTAGGTAAGGTATTTGCACACACAGGTTGGGTTACGCGCACAGCCCGTGCAGAGGGCAGCTGTCACGTGGGTCTCCCGCATGGGAGTGACAGCGCCCCATCAGAAAGGCCACAGGCTGCCATTCCATGGGCTTGTGCTATCCATATCGCAGTCCCCACCAGAGATTTCCATGATGAGGAAAGTAAATGTTTAAAGTAGGTTTTACTTTTGAAATTAATAGCTCATTGATCAATCCAACAGATGATAGTAGTGGCTGTCCTTGGCAGAACGAGAGGCTGTGTGAAACGATTAAAGTCCGTCAGAGTAGTTCCCTGTGCTTGCGTGGAAAACACACTAGAGTCTAGTGAGGCTTGTAGCCTGTACGTTTGGGCTTGACCCCTATAGGGTCTTGCTTCCTGCCATTTTGTCCAAGGATTTCTGGTTGCTTGTTGCTGACTGGATTAGGACAGTCTCACCTCTGGAATATTGTCAAGTTTGCCTTACATAGGCCTTTTGTGGGAACTGGTGGGTGAGCTACTAAAACAGAGAAGTGGGGCTTCACCTAAAGGAACAGGCTGCATAAACTGTTTGCATGCTTGCTGATAAATGTTTATTAAAATCTGTATGTGGGACAGTTTGATCTGGGCTTGGTTTTTTTTTCCTTGTCTGATTTGGCATAGAGATTGTAGGAAAATAGCTAACCCTCATCCACCTCAAAAATTTCAGTGCCTGTTAGCTAATTATTTTTTCTTTTTTTATTATTATGTTATGTTAATCACCATACATTACTTCATTAGTTTTTGATGTAGTGTTCCATGATTGTTTGTGCATAACACCCAGTGCTCCATGCAGAACGTGCCCTCTTTAATACCCATCACCAGGCTAACCCATCCTCCCACACCCCTCCCCTCTAGAACCCTCAGTTTGTTTATCAGAGTCCATTGTCTCTCATGGTTCGTCTCCCCCTCCGATTTCCCCCCCTTCATTCTTCCCCTCCTGCTATCTTCTTTTTTTTTTTTTTTTTTTTTAACATATAATGTATTATTTGTTTCAGAGGTACAGGTCTGTGATTCAACAGTCTTACACAATTCACAGCACTCACCATAGCACATACCCTCCCCAATGTCTATCACCCAGCCACCCCATCCCTCCCACCCCCCCACCACTCCAGCAACCCTCAGTTTGTTTCCTGAGATTAAGAATTCCTCATATCAGGGGTGCCTGGGTGGCTCAGATGGTTAAGAGTCTGCCTTCAGCTCAGGTCATGATCCCAGGGTCCTGGGATCGAGCCCCACATTGGGCTCCTGGCTCAGCGAGGAGCATGCTCCTCCCTCTCCCTCTGCCTCTCTCCCTGTTCATGTTCTCTCTCTCTGTCTCTGTATCTCTGTGTCTCAAATGAATAAATAAAATCTTTAAAAAAAAAAAAAAGAATTCCTCATATCAGTGAGGTCATTTGATACATGTCTTTCTCTGATTGACTTATTTCGCTCAGCATGATACCCTCCAGTTCCATCCACATCATTGCAAATGGCACAATTTCATTCCTTTTGATGGCTGCATAATATTCCATTGTGTGTGTGTGTGTATATATATATATATATATATATATACACACCACATCTTCTTTATCCATTCATCTGTCAATGGACATCTTGGCTCTTTGCACAGTTTGGCTATGGTGGACATTGCTGCTATAAACATCGGGGTGCACATACCCCTTCGGATCCCTACATTTGTATCTTTGGGGTAAATACCCAGTAGTGCAATTGCTGGATCGTATGGTAGCTCTATTTTCAACTTTTTGAGGAAACTCCATACTGTTTTCCAGAGTGGCTGCACCAGCTTGCATTCCCAGCACCTGTTAGCTAATTTAAAAAGAATCTGAAGGTTGTGAATGACCTTACTCAGATCTGTTAGAAACATCAAGTGTTTGATTGGGGTGGATTATCCAGATTGCTGGTTCCCAATGAATGAATTTAGAAAGTGGCTTAGTTCTCATCCAGAGTTTTCCAAAAGAGAATGCAAGTTTATATTCAGTTTTACTGAGTTGACTATTTCCAAGGTGGTTTCTTAAAACTTGGGGATTTCACAAAATACTAAAATTTGAAAACTTTTAGAACCGACATAAGTAACAATATTTTCTCAGGTATGAGGATATTTAAACCATAGCCACCATTCATTATCACCACCGTTTCATTAAACAATTTAACATCAAAATTTCACAAAATGGACTACTAGCAACTTTACACTGACAATAAACACTGGGAATATTTAAGTGTTTAAAACTAATTTCAAATGCAATAAAAGGATCACACCAATAACGTTTTGCAATGTTACACTTTATGCTATTTTATTGATACAGGTTTGTCAGTCTGGAGATCTTAAGACGTTTGGGGTCCCCCAAAATAATTTTAGTGTTATGCAAAATGGAGTCCAAATGGCCACTTCTGTCTAGTACTTTTGTTTTTTATCACAGTCATTGTTGAAAACCCATTTTCATCTGGATATGTGAAAATGGAAGCAACTCTTCTGAGGCTACTTTAGTCAATTCAGAATATTCTGCGTAAGAACAGCAGGCCTATCTCCAGACAGGGCTAAAATTAGCAAGGACAGACTGGGCGACCAGTTCACAAGCACTGCAGTAAAGGTCAGTGGGATACAGCTGCCTTCAAGCAGGGCTGCAATCTGAGACTTTAGCCCTGAGTGCCAAACTGAAAGCTCTCTGGGAATTAGCGAGGGGAGAACATAGCTGCAGGACGGAGACTACCAGTCTGTAGACAAGCCATTGGATTAACTGGTATTATGTGCTTAAGCCAAAGCCGCACACTACTCACCACTATACATTGCTTGGGTATTGGTTCATCATTAGGTTTTACAGACTGAACAAAGGACAGGTAAAAAATAATTTTTTGAATGAAGAACCAATTCTTATAAGCACTGAGTGAAGTAGAGATGTTGTTAGAAGACACTTGGATCCCAAAGACAGTCTTTGAGCTCCATTAAATCTGCTAACCCAACTGAGAACCAATGAAAAGGGAAAATAAAAGTTTCTTATATCATAAACTCACAGGGATCTGATTGTTCTCCCTGAGTAACTTGAAGAAGGCAGTAAGGAATTTAATTTGAGATTGCCAATTTCTTTTCCTAGATACACATTTGTTCAGGGGGTAAGGATTTTTTTTTTTTTTTTTTTTAAACCTTGGTGAACATTCCTTCCATAAAACAAGCCTCCTTAATCCAATTTGGGTTGAGGGCAGCCTAGTGGGATAGAAGGTATAATCATCTATGATTCAGGAAGTCAGCTTTATAATCGCCAGGCTGACCTTGAACAAATCAACCTCTCTTGTCCCTTGTTTCTTCATTTATAATAAGAATCAAAAAGCCCTCTCTGACTCTTAACATGGCATGAGACCAGGGCAAATGTTTTCGGAAGATCAAATGTTTCTTCACAAGGCAGTTTTAGTGACCTGAAACAGGATATGACTAAAAGTACTTGCAAATAGTATATTAAAAGTCACCAATAAACTACTTAGATATTGCAGAATCTTCTTTAAAAACCAGAACTGAAAAAAATTAGTTATAAAAGGGAAATAAGAAAGGTATTGGAGTCCCAGTCACTAAAAAACTAAAAGCGTCGGTCTAAAAAAGATTTCTGACCCCCCCCTCCACCCCAAGTTACCCAATCAGGATCCTGCTTTCTAATGGCCCCTGGGTATTTTACCTGTGATGGTGCTGCTCAGTAGACCTTTTTTTTTTTTTCTTTACAGTCCTTAATTCTGCCTTTGATCTGCCATTGCTATCAGCGTTGATAAATCTATCTTGTGATCCAGAATTTTTGTTATCAACAGGTTGGCTTTATTGTTGGCTATCTTGTATGGAGGTTTTCTCTTTACTGATAACAGAAGACCTAAAGGGAAGGAGAAAACCATTTGTGCATTTTTCTTTGTTCTTGCCATCTCGTCCAGCTCCAAATCACTGCTTTATTAAGCTAGAAGGCTGGACTGAGTCTGAGGCAACTATTTCACCATGTGCCCATACCCCTAAAATATTGACTCTTGTAATAGGCCTCTAAAATGATTCTAGAGTCTTGGTTTTTCTCCCTAAAGAGCAGGGAGCTCTTCCTTCGATTCAGATGGCAACCAAGGATGTCTTAGATACCTGGATTGCTTTTAATCACAGCTGAAAAAATTTGTCAAATTTAGGGTCTTTTATATTGTTCATAATTTTCAGGTGGTCTGTTCTCATGAACACACAGATTTTAGAGCCCAGAGGCCCTGTTAAGTGCTACAAAGAGGATCTATCTTCCCAAATTTCCAGCCATTAAGATTCCCATACTCTGATTTCCTAATACTGGAGAAGTTGGGCTGGAGTTAGAAGTAATCTGGTCCAAAAGAAATCTGGTCCAGAAACCTGGTTTCTATTAAGTGTTCTTCAGTCATCTCCTATTTAGACCTCAAGCCTGCAAAGTGTGGTTTTCATAGCCCCTATTTGCCTGAAAAAAAAAGCATTTGTTCCACAGAAACATGAGATACAAAATTTTATGAGACTTTCCTTCTATGCAAGTTCCACTAAAGACAGATTCATTCTCTACTACTGACTGCATAAAACACAGAACGCTATCTGGCACTTTAACTTCCTTCTCAGTAAACCAAGAGATAATGTGATTTCAAATCTGTAGAAGAAATAGGCGCAAATTAAGTCAATGGCCCAGGGTCTCATAAACTCAGAGGTGGGCAGAAATCTGAGGGACCTCTGCTGGTGATAGTAACCAGAAATCTGCCTGGGCCTGCTAACCCTCCTGCCACAAGGTGGCAGGATTCCCCTGGCCTGAAATCTCCAGGTCACTGAAAGGACACTGATTTCCATCCACAGTGTATACATTATCTTCTTTGGGTTTAAGTAACTGTGTCAGACTGTCTGTTTCCAAGGGCTGATAAGCTCCAGCTCGCTTTCGGGATGTTAACCAGCAAAATGTTTTCCACGCCAGCTTGGTGGTAGCTTTTCACCAACAATAGTTACCAACCTTCTCCTTTTGCTTCATGCACCAATGTTGTAACTGGAAGGTAATAAACTCAAAGCCCAGGCTTCAGTAAAAATAAAAATAGCTATTATTTGTTACATACTGTAACATACCAATACTGTGGGGCGGGGCACCCTGCTAACCACTTTACATACATTTTATTTTCATTACGACACTGAGAGACAGGTACATTCTCATCTCCATTCTGTGGATGAGGACACCAGGATTACCTGCAGCTAGAAAGTGGTGGTTCTGGGGTCTGAACCCAGGCTCGTCTATCTCCGGAGCTAACTCTCAACCACCATGAATCATAAAGAAAAATTAGTTCATAGGGATGTACTGAAGTCATGTTTCTGCCATCAGATAAAATAGTTCATTGGTGAGGTAGTCGTGTTCACAGACTTTATTATGTCCTGAAGTGGGGCCCAAATTCTTCACCAAACTACAAAAGCATTCTTGTACCCTCAGTTCAAGCATGTGCTACACCCCTTGCTTTAAAATAAAACCAAATCTTAGATGGTTTCTCTACTTTGGTTCTAAAGACTGTGTTTTATTTGCCAAAATTTAAGTCACTGACCATTTCAAAAAGAATTCAGGTATATATGAATACAGTGTTGTTGTTGTTTTTTTTAATTAATTTGTTCTCAACATGCCAAATAGGGAAGTTTAGTATATTAAAAGTTCTGAGAAGTCTGGGAAATGAACGTGTGTCACTTTGTTTACCCTAGTTTGTTTTTGCCTAAACTGATCTGCCTCTGGAGCCTTTCTCCCTCCTCCTCATAGTCAGTGCCACATCCCTTGCAATCAGCAACCCCTGCAGTACCCTCTAGGAAATGCTACCTTGTACAGCAGCCATAAAGAACTTACCATTGCTTCAATACACTGTCCTCTGTCATGCCTCAGGGCCTTTGCATATACAGTTCCTTCTTCCCGGAATGGTTTCTCTTCTCCACCTGGATGAACTGTTACTCGCCCTTCAAGAAACAACTCAGATGTAACCCTCTCAGTGAAGTCTTTAACCAGCTTTCTTAGATTGTCTCTCCACTCGCACTGCACTGAGATTTCTACTACAGGACTCACTCATATTTTCATTATTTCTTCATGGTTGCCTCTCCCACTTGGTTGTTGTCTCAAGAGTAATGACCGTGTTTTATTTATCTTTATTAGCGCCCGCATCTCTAACCACACCTCGCGCTTAGTAGGTGCTCACGAGATGTTTGTTGAAGGAATGAATGAAGATGAGGAAACAGACTCAGAATGTTTAGGCAACCAGAGGTCACGTAGCTATTTCATAGCAGAGTTGGGCCTCACACATGAGGTGCCTTCACTCAATGTATCCTGCTCTTGTCGCTGTACCCGAATAGCAAATCTGTGACAGCGGGTCAGCCATCCCCCCGCACCCATACCCCGGGACAATACTAGTAAATCAGCTCCACCAAACCCAGGCTTTTGCTCTGGAACATCAAGCATCGCTCTAGGAAACCACTAACAGAGTGGGCCCATGAGATGAAAAATATTCGATCTCCTTGCCCTCTTCCAAACTATGTCCTCCTAACAATCCATTTTTGTGGATGTGGCAGAAGGCTGTAGATTGTAGAATTCCTCTCCTGCTTTGCTACAGACAAGGTACTGCGAACTACCTCTCTGTCACTGAGCAGCCTCTGTTCCTCAGGGAGGCCCCAAGGTGAGCAGCTAAAGGCTCCCTTCCCCATCTGCCCCAGTGCCTCCAGCTTTTCCTAGTAGCCTGCCTTGAACAAGCCGCTGCCCCTTGGCACCAGGATGCAAGAGCACATTTGCCTCCCACCCACTGATACACCAAGGTTTGCCCAAATATTTTCCCCTCGTATTTCGTAGAGGCAGTGTTGGAATATTTACTGGTAAATGCTGGGAAAAGAACAGGAACGCCGCAGCCGGGAAACCAGCTGATGGAGCATAAAGTTCATCACGAAGGTCTTGCCCAAGGCTGGTTTGGCCGACAGCACATCACCTATGCTCTGCCTTGCTGCACTGCTCTCTGGAGATACTCTCCCCAAATCCTAGTTTCCTCGGCTTTCCCTCCCTAGCCCCTCAGCCCAGAAGAGGCTGTTCTGTTCTGTTCACATGACCAAGAGGACCACAGACCACTAATCGATCAGTGGGCATTCCTTCTTTCTCCTCTTGTGAAGAGAAAAGGATGATTCTCCCTGCTGCTTCTGCTGGCTTCTACATCTTAAGACCCTCCAAAAGTAATACCGAAATAACTTTTTGGCATGCGGCTGTCCTAGAAACATTTAAAAATAACAAAAATGAAGTTGATGCACCATACTCTCATCCTTCCTATATGTCTGGATGACTAGCTGGAGTTGTAAAAGTAGCTAGTATTTATTGACTATTTATTTATTGAGCTAGTATTTATTTACCATAAGCCAGATACTGTGCTAAGTGCGTTATGTAAAAATCTCATTTGTTCTTCCTTACGTTTCCATATTATAGATACTATTCTACTCCTCATTAGAGGAAACTGAGGCTTAGGATAACTTGCCTAATGACACATAGAAAATGGCAGAGCCTGGATTCCACAGGCCCATCTGACTCTAAAGTCCATGACCTTGACTGTTACATTCTTGTAACCATTAGAACTGTCTAGTATTGGAAAGGGCCACTTTGACAGGTAATGAGTGAATTCCTGATTTGGAGAGGTGTTTAATCAGCTATCTGGATTACTGCAGTAATCTCAGAAATCTGTTCTACCAATATAGCTTGGTCTAATCACACTGGTGATTCTCTATTTGCCAGCATAGTGGCTTCTTATTAGTCCTCATTCTCTTATCATCATCATCATCATCATCCACCACCTCTAATTAGCACATACTCTGTCAGGCCTCTTTCTGAGCAGTTTTATTTACATTAATGTATTTAGTCACATTTTATAGATTTTTATAGGTAAGGGAACTGAGAAGTAAAGTGACTTACTTGTCCAGGGTCAGACAACCAATAAATAACAGAGCTGGGATTATGGCCCAGGCATCTGACTGTAGTCCATTCTCTTAACACTACATTATATTGTCTCTTAATATTTGACACACATGCCATACTCTTTAAAAACTTATCTTTCTTATTATCACAGGTATAATACATATTTGTTGTAAAGAAAAAAAGTCAAATAGCACAAACATATAATACAGAAGTTGAAAGTCCCCCATAATCCTATGTCCAGAGATAATTACTGTTACCTTTACTAACTATGTATTTATATATATTTATTGGTTATACTACATATAATACTCATTAATATGTATTTTTCATGTTTTTACCCTTAATAATATATCTGCAGTATTTTTCTATAACTCTTCAAAGCTCCACTTCATGTTTTTGAATGACCATATTATATGATCATAAACATGGACCTCATTATATTGACCATAAACATGTACCGGTGTTTCTACTGGTGGACATTTGAGTTTTTCCTACTGTTTTGCTATCATTAAAAAAATCTAGGGGCACCTGGGTGGCTCAGTCGGTTAAGCCTGTGACTCTTGATTTTGGCTCAAGGCATGATCTTAGGTTCCTGAGATGGAGCACCGTGTCAGGCTCCCTGCTCAGCATGGAGTCTGCTTGTCCCTCTCTCTCTGCTCATCCCCCCCTCTCGCCCATGCTCTAAATAAATAAATAAATAAAATCTTAAAAATATAATCTACAAGGACAGAAGGCCCTCCTTCTGCATGACCCCCAAATAATACAATAATAGTAATTACAATAACTAACATTTCACAGCTTACTATGTGCCATACATTAAGTAAAGCACTTAAAATAGAGTGCTCTTATTATTCACATTTTTAAGATTATTTCTTTTCATTTTTTTAAGTCAACTCCACTCCCAACATGGGACTCAAACTCACAACCCCAAAATCAAGAGTCATATGCTCTGCCAACTGAGCCAGCCAGGCGCCTCTTCACAGTTTTTTCAGATGAAGAACGGAAGGCACAGGAAGTCTCACTGCAAATAGGAAAGCTCAAATTTAAGCCCTGTTTTGATTCCAAATCACATTGCATATATTATCTCTAAAATCAGTGTAAGTGTTCTCTCCGAGCCCTTTCATTTGACATATACATATTCCATGGGTTTCGTATCCATTCCCTTCACTTCAGAATCTATCTCCTTGAGCTCCTGGACCATTCAGCCTACTAGATATTGCCAAGTGGACGCATTGTGGGTACCTCAAACTTAACACATCCAAAATAGAAATTATCATCTTCCTCAGGCCCTCTAGACATCCTCCAGGATGATCTCCACTTGTCAACACTATTTCATTTAGTGGCACTGCCATTCATCCAATTGTCCAAGCTAGAAACTTCAAAGCCTCCTGTGACTCCTGCCTCCATCACACCTCCCATCTAATTGGTGCTAAGGTCTTTTTAGAATAGATCACAAATTGTTTCTCAATCCATCCTCTCCACCTTCCTCCTACTATGGCTTTAGATAATTAAGGCTCCCAATACCTCCCCCTTGGACTGTTGTATCTGCCTCCTAACTGATCTCCCTACTTCTAAAATCTCCCTAGGTCCCATCTATCCTTCCATTGAGTAAATGTTGTAGAGCCAATAATTGATTATGTCATATCTGGCTTAAATCCTTCTGACTACTAAATAAGTTCTAAACACCTTAGCATGGCACATAAAACATCACAAAACCTGACCCTAATTTATCTTTCCAAACTCATCTCCAGCATGTTCTTACTCGTGTACCTTAAAACACAACCACCCTCGGTCACTTGTATTTCCTCAGAAATATCAAATATCTCCATGCCACTGTGCTTTTGTTCCTGCTACCAGAAATGCCCTCCTCTGGCTTCTCTGCTACCTGCTGATATTTTATTTTCCTTTGAAGACCCAGCAACCTGCCCCCAGTGTACACACAGTTTCCACCCATATTTCAATGTATTACTTGTCCTCTTTGTTTACATTTCTATTAATGCTTTACTACAGACTAGTCACCTAGTCACGTGTGTCTGTTTTTCTGAAAGGACTCTATCTTAAACATATTAGTATTTTTAGTGCCTAGAAGGAGCTTGATATGTAAATAATTAAAACTGAAGTACATTTGTGATTTAGGTAAAAGTTTACTCCCAAATCTAAGATGTTCTGTGCCTTTTCAATAGACTAAAATCTTAACTTGAGGATTGCAATTACTATTTAAACTTAGAATTAACTCCTGCTTCAAGGGGCCATTTCTGCTTTCACTTCTTTGCAGAGGCTTTAAAAGCCAAGAATTTGGGCTCCTGGCAGTGAACATCCAGTGGATGTTGTCATGGGGTTTCCGGAGGAGGTGGGGTAGAAAGCACAAGAGCACATCGGAAAACTCGCAATGTTCCAGGCCACGTGGGATTGATTATTCCAGCGAGATGCTCAAGCAAAGAGAACAATTTTTGTACTGGGTTTTTTTTGACATCTGGGCTTTGGCAGCTACTCCTATGGCTTTGCTCAGCAGTTCTTGGGGAATGAGATATGGGCTTGTTTCAGTGGAAGAAAAACCTCTACTGATTCAACTTCTCCTACAGCAGAACCCTTCAAAAGACTCTTCCTCTTACATGGATTTTCTTGCCAGGTCCCGGTCTCACTGCCATTTACAGAGAGAGTCAGTCTCCATGCACCTAAAGAAATTCATACCACCTGGGGTCTGAATGAGGTTAGACCAACCCCTCCTCATTTCTTCTTCTCCTATGGTTCTTTTCAAACCACAGACAAGGAACAAGGAACAGTGAAAGACTGGAAGGAAAACCTCAGGCTACTGAGGAAGTAGATTCACTCCAGCTACTTTGAAATTTCTCTTGTTAAATACAAGCTGAGTGGAACTTTAGCTCCAGTTTTGAGGGAGAAGGGGGAGGGAAGGCTGTTTTGCAAATATTGACTGAGCATGTACTCTGCCAGGCACCGTCCTATGCATTATTTTATTTAAAACACACAACAACTTCATGTGGTATACTATTATCTGTATTTTAATGATGGAGAAACCAAGGTTCAAGGAGGTTAAATGATTTCCCCCAGGCCACTTACTTAGTACATGGCAGAGGCAGGTTAAGCTGACAGGGATGAATCCAGTAATATATACTCTTTACTCATTACTTGTAAAATAAAATAGTAATAGTTGCATGACATACAAAAGCTTCTCATTTAAACATTCAGACCTATTACCTCCAGCATCTCAGAAAGATTATCATTATTGTTATTATTATTATTATTCCAACATCCACTGAGCATTTAAGACCTGCCAGAATTTGATCTAAGTATGCTGTATAATACATAATCTTATTCTCAGAAAAACCACCTTTTGAGCAAGGTACTATTATTTTCTTAATAAATAAATAGAGGCCGAGAAAGCTTGAATAACTTTACCCAGGTCAGAGAGCTGAGGTTGGAGCCCAAGTTTTAAATCCAAAGAGTCTGCCTTCAGAGCGTAAGCTACACTGCCTACAAAGAGCACATTCTGGTGCTAGATTTCAAAATCCCAGCTCTGCCTCTTCCTGGGTAAATACCAGTCCTCATTTCTCCATATGTAAAACGCACCTCTGGAGACTTACCTGCTAACCAAGTGTCTCCATATGTATTCTCAAATTCATCAAAGTCAGAATCCTTATTCCATAGTAAAAAGAAGTGCATTTTTGAAATATGATAGATGTGGGTTCAAATCTTACTACACTTACCAGCTAGGTGATTTCAAACAAGATACTCAAACTTTCCATCACCTGAACATGGGAGATAAAAACACCTACCTAATAGGATTATTTATGGGTTAGAAATAGTATATATATTTTTTACAATGCCAGGGGATTGGAAGGAGTTCTATAGTATACCTATGATTTTATTATGGGGACACCCAGGTGGCTCAGTCTTAAGCATCCGACTCTTGATTTCAGCTCAGGTCATGATCTCAGGGTTGTGAGATCAAGCCCCAAGTCAGGCTCTGTGCTGGGTGTGGAGCCCACTTGGGATTCTCTCTCTCCCTCTGCCCCTTCCCCCTCCTAAAAAAAAAAAAAATTATACTACATATATATATATATTTTGTTTTTCTGAAAGTTCATTTCTGAACTTTATATATTTAACTATATATATAACTATGTATTTTCTGAAAGTTCATTTCTGAAATGAACTATACATATATACACACATAACTATATATATACACATATATAGTTATGGTTCTTGACCAGGAAAATGTATTTGCATACCCATTAGCAGGTAGAGGACAAAGTTTCCCGTACACCATCCTCACATGGGCATTACTAGAGAGGCTAGAGAGCCCTTTTCTGGGTACTGATACAGCAGGACACAGTCTTCTATTGGGCCTCGTTGAGGTGTGGCTCTGACTCAGGTGGGTGGGGATAGGATGCACTGAATGTGTTCTCTCTGCTCATCTTGTCCCTCACCTGTCCAGCCTGGTGAGAAACGTACCCATTGTGAGCCACCTCTGGTAAACTACAGTCAGGGTCCTGACTCTCGCTCCATAACACTGCCCCTCCTTATTAGAGGGCTCTAAGGGAAAAGCACATGGCCTTTAGAGTCACACTTGCTTAGGCCCAAACCTCCAAGACTAAGTGAATTTAGGCACGTTCCTTTGCAGAACATTGGGCTCCCTTCCGTCAAATGAGAGCTATCATCCTAGGGATTTGTGAGGATTAAGTACTTCATGACTTCATGACTAGGATCTAGCTCAGTTATAGGCACTTACACCCAACAAATTTTAATCTGTCTTTGAAGAGAATAGCTCAAGGTCAACATCACTGTGAGATGAACAAAAAGCAATGATATGCCAAATAAAGAAAGGGACAAGTCTGCACAAAACACTCTTTTATTACTAACTCTGGAGATAATTAAATCCACCCCCTCCCCCGCCAAAATACTTGCCTTATATCGAAGGACCTAGATTTTGTATGTTCAGCAAGAAAAAACAAGTTTAATGTATTCGTTTACTTTGTATAAGTCCATATTGGATCTGTCACAAGTTGTCAGCTGAGATACTACCTTGTAAGATTTGGTTCCAATGCTCAGCATTGAAAGAGATCTTATAAATACTAAGTATTACTGCAGCAGACCCCCATAACATTGGTTTCTGAGGCACTACTAGAAATCAACTAGTTACTTCCAAAGGATTTGGCCAAATCCATAGTATAGGTTGGCATTCTGCCTTACTAGCAAGAATAACAAAGGTGATCACCGTTGGTGAATGAATCTGGGCAAGGCCATGTTATCCACATATCCACATATCCACACAGATGACATGGTTGATGATCAGAGCCAGAACTCACCTCTGCAATAGGTTAAGGAGGTCTCTTGTGTCTCTGCTTTTACTGTGCTCGCTTCCATATAAAAGGATTTGAATCATCAGACACTATAGATAAGTTGAGAAACACAGCAGGTTAAAGAGAATCAGATGGCAAGCAGCTTCATAATAAACCAAACTCAGGAGAGCACTAGTGGAATGGAGCTATCATGAGTTTACATTTCAAATTTCTGCACTGCATCTCCTCCTGGTTCCCAGCCACGGAGGACAAGGAGCCTGAACTGAAGGCTCTGAACACTCCCATGTTCTATGTGTATCATTCCCCTTCACTGCACCTACCACTGCCCTATGTGGCTACAGATCCCCAAAGTAACAGGGCCAAAACATGGCTGCAATAGTGGTTTCCATGAAGATTTTCCAAATAGCTATGACCAAATGGATGGACATAAATGAAATCTGTGTGTGGGTCCTAAATTTGCAGTTCATTCTCATGCTGTATCACTTTACTCTTAGGCAGTTTTCCATTTACAATTTTATTGCTGACCTCTCGTTCCAATCAAGATGGAATAATAGGGATCAGATTTACCCTTGCACTTGAAACAGCCAGTAAAAGAAAAAGTAAACAAAATATATGAAACTATCTTCAAGACACTGAACATCAGCCAACAAAGAACAGTGGTCCCTAAGAGAGGGCAACAAGTGAGATAAATCCTATGACTGCCCCCAGATTATTGCTTTGAGAGCATTTCCAGGCCATGATGCAGGGAAAGGAACAAAGTGAAGCTCAGCAGACTCCCCGAATTGAGGATAAGGAGCTGGGAGTCCCAGGAGGCTCTCAGAGCAGAGTAAAAAAGAGACAGCTGCATAGAAAAAGATCCAGGAATATTTGCAGTGGGTCCCCTTTAAATATTCAGCAGAGTATTGATTAGCACATCTAAAGCTGGGGAAAGAATCAGCTGACGGGGCTGGAGGGAACAGGGCTAGGTATAGTGCTTATTCCAACCAGCCAATCTGGAAAGCCTCATTTTTCATGGACCTTTGGGTGGTGTACTCAGAAGGCTTTTGCCTCAGTAATGGGGGAAATTTAGCCTTTGACTAAATGTTGCTCTAGTCTCATCTACTGAATCTTAAAAAGCAAGACCTAAAAGGACCAAACTATAACTGACTTCCAGAAAAAGTTCAAAAATACTTATAGGAATACAAAAATATCCAGCACCCAATAAGGTAAAATATACAAAGATAGCAAGGCATGTGTGATCCATATGAGAAAAATCAATCCCAAACTGATATAGATGTTAGAATTAGCAGAGAAGTATATTAAAACTGTTATTGTAACTTTAATCATGTATTAAAAAAATTAAGTGAGGACATGAAAAACACATTTTTTTAAAAGACCTAAATCAAACTTCTGGAGATGAAAATGTCTGAAAGGAACAATACACTGGATGGGACTAAGAGTTTGACATTGAAGAAAAAAAACCAGTGAACTTGAAGGCACAGGAATAGGAAGTATCCATAAAAAAAAATCAGGGATTATAGCAGTAGGTACAGAAAAATAATTTTTATAATACCCAATACCCAAGCTTATAAAATCCAACATCTATTCCTGATTTAAAAACAAAAATTCCTTAGCAAACCAGGAGTAGAAGGGAATCTCCTCACCCTAAGAAGGTATCTATAAAAAAATCTACAGCTAACATCAAATCTAATTGATTAAAGACTAAATTATTTTCCCCTGCAAACAGGAATTAGACCAGGTTGCCTGTTCTCACCACTTCTATTCAACATTGTATTAGATGTTCTAGCCAATGTGATAAGAAATAAAAGGCATCAATCAGAATGAAAGAAGTAAAGCTTTATTTGTAGATGACATGATCATCTATGTAGAAAATCTGATGAATCTATAAACAGCTACTAGAAAAGTGAGTTTAGCAAATTTATGGGACACAAAATTATTATATTAAAAAAATCCCTTGTATTTCTATATACTAGCATCAACAATCAGAAATTGAAATTCATATGACACATTTAAAATACCATCAAAATATGAAGTCAGTATGAATAAAACTAAGAAAAGATGCACTAGATATGTACATTGAAAACTATAAAAAGTATTATTGGGAGAAAGTAAAGATCATCTACACAAATGGAGGAACACCATGTGCTCATGGGTAAGAAGCACAAGATTGTTAAAATGTTAATTCTCCCCAAGCTGATCTATACATTCAATGTAATCTCAATCTAAATCCCAGCACGTGTTTTTGGAGAAATTGATACAGTGATTCTAAAATTCCTGTGGAAATGCAAAGAACCTAGAATACTCAGAACAACACTGAAAAAGAAGAAGAAAGGTGAAAAACTAACACTACCTGATTTCAAGACCTGTTTTAAAGCTACAATAATCAAGACAGCATGTTATTGGCATCAAGATAGAAAAACAGAGGGTGCCTGGCTGCCTCAGTTGGTAAAGCATGTGACTCTTAATCTCAGGAGCATGAATTCAAGCCCCACATTGGGTGTGGAGCCCAGTTTTAAAAAAAGATAGAAAAACAGATCAGTGGAATAGAGAAGAATCCATAAATAAATCCACATCCACACACACACACACTGATTTTTGACAAAGGTGCAAAGATAATTCAGTAGAGAAAAGAATGTCTTTTCAAAAAATGGTGCTAGAACAACCAGATATCCATATGCAAAATTAATTAATTAATTAAACTGAGATCCAGTCCTAGTACCATATAGGAAAACTGACTCGAGTGGATCTAGACCTAAATGTTAAACCTAAAACTACCAAAAATCTAAAAGAAAACACAAGAGAAAAATCTTTGTGGCTTTGGTTAGGCAAAGATTTCTTAGATAAAACATCAAAAGCACAATCCATAAAAGAACAAATTGATAAACTGGACTTCATTAAATTTTAAAACTTCTGCTCTTCACAAGACATTTGTTAAGAAAATGAAAAGGCAAACTGCAGACCAAGAGAGAATACTTCCAAATCATATATTTGTTAAAGAACTTGTATCTAAAGGTGCCTGGGTGGCTCAGCTGGTTAAGCGTCTGCTCTCAGCTCAGGTCATGATCCCAGGGTCCTGGGATGGAGCCCTGCATCGAGCTTTTTGCTCTGAGGGGAGCCTGCTTCTCCCTCCCCCTCTGCTGCTTCCCCTGCTTATGCTTTCTCTGTCAAATAAGTAAATAAAATCTTTTTTAAAAAAATAAAGAACTTGTATCTAGAATATATGAAGAACTTTCATTTTTTTCACTTTATAGCATCATTTATGGCATGAACTAGGAACATGTGTTTATACAAAGACCCAACAATTGGACACCGGCAACTTTACAATTATCTTAAAGGAGTCATATACAAGTCCACAGGCACCATACACACCGCGGTTAGGATATATGAAGAACTTTTAAAAGAATCATAAGAAAGCAAACAACTAATGAAAAATGAGCAAAAGATTTGGATCAACACTTCACCCAAGAAGATAAAATGAGAAATAAGGGCAAGGAAAGATGCTCAAGATAAATACAAATGAAAACCACAATGAGGGGCGCCTGGGTGGCTCAGTAGGTTGAGCATCTGACTTGTGATTTTAGTTCAGGTCATGACCTCATGGGTTGTGATACTGAGCCCTGTCTGGACTCCACATTCAGTGGGGAGTCTGCTTGTAATTCTCTCTCTTTCTCTCTCTCTGCCCCTCCCCCCACTTGTGATCTCTCTATCTCTCTCACTCTAAAAGAAAGAAAGAAAGACAGGAACGAAGGAAGGGAAAGAAGGAAGGAAGGAAGGAAGGAAGGAAGGAAGGAAGGAAGGAAGGAAGGAAGGCAGGAAGGAAGGAAGGAAGGAAGGAAGGAAGGAAGGAAGGAAGTCTTAAAAACCACATACAATGAGATACCGCTACATACCTATTAGGGTGGCTACAATGAAAAGCCCTGGCCACACCAGCTACTGGCAAGGATGTGGAGGAACTGAATTCTCAGACCCTGCTGGTGGGAATATAGAACATGATGCAACCATTTTCCAAAATTTTGGCAGTTTCTTATAAAGGTAAACATACACCTATCATATTACATAGTGCTACCATTTCACTCCTAAGGATTGACCCAAGAGAAGAAAGTATATATCCATACAAAGACTTGTGCATGAGCACTCACAGCAGCTTTATCAATGATAAACCCAAACTGGAAACGGTCAAATGTTCATCATCAGGTGAATGGATAAAAAAAATCATGGTGTCCATGTAATGTAACATTCAGCAATAAAAGTAAACCATGATACACACAATAATATGGATAAGTCCCAAAATAATTATGCTGAAAGAATGATTCAAAAATGTGTAACTATAGGATTCTACTTATATAAAGTTTTTGAAAATGCTAATGTATCTTTAGTGACAAAGCAAACCAGTTATTGCCTGGGGGTGGGGGTGGGGGTGGGGGAGGGGTGGGATTGATTAATTACAAAGGGGACTGGGGAAACTTTTGGGGGTGACCGATATATTCATGACCTTGATTGTGGCAACGGTTTCACAGGTCAAGATATCAAAACTGATCAAACTGTGCACCTCAAAATGTGTGCAGTTTATTGTATGCAAATAAAAATTATTCCATCACAAGGTTATAATTTTTAAGGTTTGTCTTTTCTTTATCTTCTCACCTCCACCCTACTGCATTTAACTTTGACTCCTTTTACATGAACATTGGACTGCCCAAGAAAAAAAGTCAGCCCAAAGTGTCACTCTCTTTATGCTCTATTCTGTCTGCCAAAGGGGTTTCCTCACAGCATCAACTTTTGCTGAGGTCTCTCGCCTTCGTTTTAGCTCCAGGAGTAGTTGCCAACCCCCAGAAGAGCATCTATTAACATCCGCTAATTCAGAAACCTCATGGCCAGCATCCCACTCATAGCAGATCCCCAGCATTGAGGAAGGAGTTCAAAGCTCAAAACAAGAGCCATACTGTCAGCATGCCCTTCTACACCTCCCCGCCTTTCTGGGCTGGGACCCTGAAGTAGGGCCTAAAGCCCTCAGGATAAAAGCCGATAACCAAGATGCAGCCCCCACCTACCTTACAGAATCCTAAATCCCCACGTTGACTCCCTATTCCAAATGGAGGAGGTGGCTATGGCTTCAGACAGCCACTAGCAAGTAATATCTAGAACGGGCTCTCCTTTCGTCTTGTGTAGAATATGGTAAGCCCTTATAACATGTATGCTGGGGCGGGTTTGTTTGTTTGTTTTCAGAAAAGTTGTTTTCAATGATTTCTTTGATTACTGTTTCTCTTCCAAGTATTATCGTTCTTTAGGTGAATCTCTACTCTGCCCTCCATAGCGACTTTCTCATTATCTCTCTCTCTCTTCTCTCTGCATTCTAGGACAGATTTTCGAGTCTGTCATATAAATCTCTGATCCTTTAAATGGGCAGGGTATGACATCTCTAGAAGTATTAAAAATACAGATTCTAGACACACCTCGTAGAACTTGTGATTTAAATGTTTGAGGTGAGGCTCAGGACTCTGTTTTTTGTTAGTCTGTTTCATTTTTGTTTTGATTTTTATTGACATCGCTGCAATTTTAGATTTGGGAAATCTCACCATCACTGTGACATGTTAAGACAGTCTTCCCTATTTTCCATGTAGATTTGAATTCTATTGGATTTGCTGTTCCCTTGAAATCCCTTATTTCACTCTTAAATCTCATCTCATCTTTTGGCTTCAGACTGTCATCCTTTCATTGTAAAGTTTTCTCTCCTTATAGGTTTCTCTGCTCCCATCCCTATGTTCATGTTTCCCTCAAAGATACTCTTCTGGTCCCTGCAACTTATTTTCTTAAGGTTTTCTTTTTCTCAGAATCTTCAAAATGAGGCCCCCCCTTTCTCCTGTTATTCACTGTCTTCATAACTTATTTTCTGATTCTGTTTAGTTAACCTGAAATGAGATAAAAATCTCTCCAGACATGATGTTTGCCAATGTACATGTACGGATTGCTTGGGACTCCACTCTCCTCACATGAGTACTGATTGGTCTTTACCAACTCTTCCTCTGACCTTGAACAAATTTAGATTTTATGTAGAGACATCCCTACTGATCTATCATGTCTTTAGCCTTGGTCTGTCAGTATGCTGACTAGCTGAACAACTGTTTGGTCATACCTCTTGCCAGATCCTACTACAAGATATGAACATCCAGGGACCTCTGAGCCCCCTGGAAGAGGAATTGGTACTTGGGTAAGAATGGTTTATAAAAGGTGTTCCTGATTCCTGATTCCTTGGGTGCTTTCCTGATATTTGGCCACTGCCAGACCCAGATTCTAACATTGGGGTGTTACTCTTTTAAGACTCTGGTCCAGGCATTCACACAACAAAACTTTCTGTATCATGTTCTCCTTTAGCACATCTAAGAAAGTGAATTTTCGCTTTACTTAAAAAATAAAAAGGAATAGAGAAGGAAGGAAAAAAGAAGAAGGAAGGAAAGAAAGAGAGAGAGGTGAAAGGAAGCAGAAGGAAGGGGAGGGGTGGGAAAGAAAGGGAAAATAAACACACACACACACACACACACATGCATCACTCCTCACATTGTGCTTACAGGCCCGGGAGAAAATGTAAAAAGCAGCCAGCATTCACCTTCCTTAACAGCTGAATTGCCTTCCTGAACTCTCCTTTGGCAAAGCAGATCCTGCCCATGTTGTAAAAAGTTTCGGCCACCTTTTCACTACAGTCACCATAGCTGATGACCTGAGACCTCAGGGCGGCCTTTAGCAGTCTGTAAGCCTCCTAGGGAATTAAAGAAAAGTGTATTATAATCCTCTGGGCAATTCTGAAGGAGTATGCCAGTTCTAATCCATTAACTCTACGGAAGAGGCATTCTACGTCACACTGACGTAACCCACCTGGACCAGGCGGTTGTGACATGTCACCTAAGTAATCTGTTTCTGTGAAGAGGTAACATTCCAAGCTTATGTTTAATAATAATAGTTAATTCATGCATGACTACTCTCTGAGAGAGGAACTATTATTATATTTATTTTACAGATGAAAGAATGGATCTTGCCCAAGATCACACTGTCTCTTGTTGATTTACCTATTCAGATTTACCTGTTTTTCCCCATTTTGGACAAGCCATTTGCAGAATTCTTCAATGGTCGTCAGTGTTTCATAATCTGTTGGGCCCAATGTTGCTTGATACGCATTGATACTTTTTATAAAATATATCTCAACAGCATCTGCAAAAAAAAGGGGGAACATTTAAGGCAGGCCGCTAGCCTTTACAAGTAGCTAATACAGCTTTGGCTCAGTTAGACATTTCATACTTAAAGTCATTGCCTGTTCTCATTCCGGGTCTCATAAGGACCCTCAGAAAGTCTGAGATATAATTTGATGGCATCAGTTGACGTAATTTTATTCTGTTGATGAAAGGTATGGATTTTTCTGTAGGAAAAGAAAGCCATGCCTGAACAGCCTATCCTAAGACCCCCAAATAACTACCATATTAAACTCCCAAGGGCAATGAAAGACTATATATTTAGCTAAATTAAACTCTGATAGAGAGTATTGTTTACCGGGATTCCTGCCGGGGGCGTGTGTGTGTATGTGTGTGTGTGTGTGTGTGTATGTAGAGGGAGAATTTTAGTTTCAAAAGTATTTTAAATAGAGTTGTTATTTAAAAATTTACTTTTAACTTGTCTTTTATTCCAAACATAATAGATGTTTATGTAATCAGTCTAGAAAATGCAATAGAAGCAAAAAGAAAGGGACAATTACCTCCACGCACACTACTCAGAAACAGGCACTGTTAACATTTTTTACCACTGTATTAAGGTATAATTGGCATACCACACATTCAACTATTGTAATTACACAGTCTGATGAAGTTTTAGTAAATTTATAGTTATGTAATCATGATCAAGATCCAGTTTTAGAAGATATCCATCACGCCCAAAATGTTTCTCCATGGCTGGTTGCAAGCAATGCCTACTCTCATCCTGTCTGAGGCAATCACTGATCTTTGTTCTAGCTCTGTTTTTGCCTCTTCTAGAAATTTCATATAATTGGATTCATACAGCATGTAGTCTTTTGTGATTCTTTCAAAATGCATCATGCTGTTTTTGAGATTCATCTATGTTCTTGCATGAATTAGTACTTTATTCCTCCTTCTGCTGAGTAGATACACGTTTTGTTTACCATTCACAAGTTGATGAGTATTTGTGTTCATGTATACAATCTATTATCCAGGTATCAGTTCCAGTTCTCTTCATTCCTTTCTGTGGATTTGAGTTACCATGTGCTCCCATTTTCTTTCAGCCCAAGGGCTTCCTTCAGTATTAATTTTAGGTCAAGAATGCTACCAACAAATCTTGTTTATCAGGGAATGTCGATCTCACCTTCATTTTCTTTTCATTTTTAAAAGTATTATTTATTTAGGCAATCTCTATACCCATGTGGGGCTTGAACTCACAACCCCGAGATCAAGAGTCACATGCTCTCCCGACTGAGCCAGTTAGACGCCCCTCACCTTCATTTTCAAAGGGTAGTTTTCCTGAATATATAGTTTTTAGTTGAATTTTATTCCAATATTTTGAGTATGTTTTTCCATTACCTTCTAGCCTCTGTTATTCTGATGAAAAATCAGCCATTAATCATATTGTTGTTTCCCTGTACAAAGCTGTTTTTCCACTGCTGCTTTCAAGGTTTCTTTTTTTTATTCAGCAATTTGACTATGTGCCTATTTGTGGTTCTCTTTGTGCTTATCTTACTTGGCATTGAGAATTCTGGATCTGTAGATAACAACCTTGGGAAATTCAGGGCCATTAGTTCTTTAGATAATTTGCTGCCTCATTCTGTCTTCTGCCCTTCTGGAGCTCCTATTACATGTATGTTGATACACCAGGCATTGTCCCACAGATCTCTTATGCTTTGTTCATTTTTCTTCAATACCTTTTTTCTCTGCTCTTTGGAGATCATCTCTAGTGCCGTACCTTTGAGCTATCTCATTCTCTCCTCTGCCATCTTGAATCTGATGTTGAGACCATTTAATGAATTTTCATTCAGTTACTGTATATTACAACTCTAGAATTTCCATTTGGCTGTTTTTTTCTTAAACAGTTTATATTTCTCTATTGAGACTTCCTATTTTCATTGTATTTTCTTTTAATTCTTTGGACAGTTTCCTTTAATCCTGTGAAGATATTTATGATCGGTGCTCTGAAGTCTTTGCTAAATCCAACATGTAGCCTACTTAGCATCAATATCTATTGACTTCTGAGTAAAAGCCATGGGTTGTTTCTTTGTATGTTTCTCTTTTGTTGAAAACTGTATATTTTAGACATTATATAGTAGCAACAACAGATTCTGATATATTTTTGTGAGTTTTTGTTTTATTTTAGTGAATTGCCTAGACTTAAACTACAGAGTCTATCTCCTCCTATGTTGTCTGAATGTTAATGTCTTTGCTCAGGTTTTTTTATTTCTTTAGACTTTCTTTTTTCTTTTCTTTTTTTAAAGATTTTATTTATTTATTTGACAGAGAGACACAGAGAGAGAGAGGGAACACAAGCAGGGGGAGTGGGAGAGGGAGAAGCAGGCTTCCCACGGAGCAGGGAGCCCGATGTGGGGCTCGATCCCAGGACCCCGGGATCATGACCCAAGCCGAAGGCAGACGCTTAACGACTGAGCCACCCAGGCGCCCCTAGACTTTATTTTTCAAGGCAGTTTTGTATTCACAGAAAAACTAAGTGGTAGGTACAGAGATTTCCCATACAACCTTGTCCACATACAGCATTTGTGATGGCTAATTTTAAGTGTCAACTAAACTGGGCTAAGGGATGCCCAGACAGCTGCTAAAACAATTTCTGGGTGTTTCTGGAAAAGATGAACAACTGAATCAGTATACCAAGTAAAGAGCTTTCCTCACCAAGTTCAAAAAAAAAAAAAAAAAAGGCAAAGGAAGGCGAATTTTCTTCTTGAGCTGGAAATCCATCTTCTGCCCTCAAATATTGAAGCTCCTGGTTCTTGGGCCTTTGGACTCTGAGACTTACCAGTAGTCCCCTCACTCCTATTGGTTATATTTCTCTGGATAACCCTGACTAATACAGATTTTGATACCAGGAGTGAGCTTGACAACAAGGACTTCTTTTTGCCAGAGCCATGGCTGAGGACCCAATCAGCCAGCAGACAGCAACACTGAGCCCCTGATTTGGCACCATTACCTGGGGTGATTAGCCAGCTACCTGGTAGCAAGCTGATTACACTGAACCATTTTTTCATGGAAAAGGCAGCATTTTGTCCTTAAGTGGAATAGATATCTACTCTGGATATAAATTTGCCTTCCCTGCATGCAATGCTTCTACCAAAACTACCATCCATAACCTACAGAATGCCTCATCCACCATCATGGTATTCCACACAGCATTGCTTTGGATCAAGGAACTCACTTCACAGCCAAAGTATAGTAATGAGCCCATGCTCATGGAATTCCCTGGTCTTACCATGTTCCCCACCGTACTGAAGCAGCTGGCTTGATAGAATGGTGGAATGGTCTTTTGAAGACAGTTAGAGTGCCTGCTAGGGAGCGATACTTTGTTAAGGCTCGAGTTCTCCAGAAGGCTGTATATACTCTGGATCAGCACCCAACATATGGTGTTATTCCTCCAATAGCCAGGATTCACAGGTCTAGACATCAAGGGGTGGAAATATAAGTAGTACCACTCACTACTAGTGACCCACCAGCACAATTTTTGCTTCCTGTTCCCACAACTTGATTCTCTACTGGCCTAGAGGTCTTAGTTCCAGAGGGAGGAAGGCTTCCCCCAGGAGATACAACAATGATTCCACTGAACTGGAAGTGAAGACTGCCAGCTGGCCTCTTTGGGCTCCTCATGCCCTGAATCAAGGAAAAGGAGTTCCTATGACTGAGTCTGACTACTAAGGGGAAACTGAACCACTACTCTGCAGCAGAGGTAAGAAAACACCTGTTTGCAACACAGGAGATTCCATCTAGTAGTTCTAAGATGGCGTCTCATATATTACTATGCCCTGTGATTAATGTCAATGGAACATTACAACATCCCAATCCAGGCAGGATTAGTAATGGCCCAGAACCTTCAGGAATGAAGGTTTTGGTCATCCCACAAGGTAAAGAACAATTACCAGGTGAGGTGTTTGTTAAAGGCAATGGGAACCCAGAATGGGTAGTAGGAAAAGGTAGTTTAGAGCAGTTACAACCACATGACCACTTACAGAACTGAGGACTGTAACTGTCATGAGTATTTCCTCATTTTGTTATGAATACGCTTGTCGTGTACATATGCACATATTAAGCAAATATCTTATTTTTCTTCTTTTATTCCCTTTTCATGTAACAGAAGACATATTGATGTTATATCAGTATTTAAGTATTGTTAATTTTACATCCTAGTTTTCAAGTTATGGGATATCAGAAGAGTAAACATCATTGAAGGACTTTATCTCTTCCAGGAAAGGGACTAGTACATTTCCAGTCATACCCAGGGTAGTTATGCCATATTAGGCACAATTATATCTCTATTTGGAGATTAAGTATGTTTGAGGAGATGCATGTAAGGATCAAGTTGACAAGGAGTGGACTTGTCATGCTGAATTTTGTGTCAACTTGACTGTGCTAAGGGATGCCCAAATAGCTGATAAAACATTATTTCTAGAGTGTATCTGTGAGGGTGTCTCCAAGAGAAATTAGCATCTGAATCAGTAGACCGAGTAAAGAAGATCTGCTCTCACCAGTGTGAGTGGGCATCATTCCATCCATTGAGGGCTCAAAGAGAATTAAAAAAAAAAAGAAGAAGAAGAAGGGTGAAGTCTCTTTCACTAATCTTGAGCTGGGACGTCTATCTCCTGCCCTTGGACATCACACAGTTGTTTTAAATTCCCAGTCTGAGCATTCAAATATCCCTACTATATCTGAGTCTTGTCTCTTCAAAAACGGTGTGGTTTTTTAGGTTTGTTTTTTTGTTTGTTTTGTTTTTGCCTTTTACTTAAAATTGTTCTTGATAGGTGGACACGATGTGCTGGGTAAAATAAACTTTAAATAGGCCTCTAGTAATTGGTGGTAAGAGGTGGGGCTTGGGGGGAGAAAGCATTCTGTAGTCCTATGATTAGCTCTCCGTGTTTTGGTGAGCCTGTGCTTCTGCCTTGTGAACCTCACGAGTGCCTCTTGGTCCCTTTCTCCTTTAGGTGGGACAGGATGGCTAGA